CTTATACTTAATTTCCTCCATTTCATCTAAAATAACAATATCGACAGTTTCTGATCTCCAATAAGTTGGGAAACGACTTCTATCAGGCCGTTCTAGCATGACCACAACTTGATCCCATCTCCCTAATTCTTTACAACTGCCTATCACCACTGGCTGACCATGATGTTCAATGTTTGGTGGCAAGTGCACATGAAAAGTAACTTTGCATGTTTGGAAAGAATCTTCATTCTTTCTACTAAAAAGACTTGGAAGTTTAACAAACCGAGATTTACCGCCTTCAGATTTTGTTGAAACATTTTCTTGAATATTGCGAGGGGAGTCATTCGGAAAATTCAATATATTATCATCACTTAAGCGAATTAACCACTATATTCGAGTTAAATTTAAATGTTAAATACGAATATACAGTACAAGTCAAATGTAATTGTTATTCGAGGCGTTGAGATACCTGAGTGACCTTGTTATATTGTTGAATACTATGAGTTTCATAAAGATAAGGTAAGACTTGAGATGATAGGAACTGCAGTAGCGTCTTATATTCAAGCAACGAAATGTTGTGATAGGAGTTTGGTAACAAAAGTTTACTAGATTCATCGGAAGAATGCGCATAAATAAAAGTAGTTAAGAGGATAATCAAGAAAAGAATTTTTTCTTTATGATCTCTAGGATTTTGTATGAGCATCAGATTATCTTCAATAAACTGAAAATTTACTGAGTTAATCGTCAAGTTTGGAAATCTATTTAAAACTGCAAGATATTCGTGTATTTTTTCATTAATATTGTCTATGGTCAAGTTTCTATAAATAATGTGAACGAAAGCGTAATCCTCGATTATTCCTGTTGCAAAACGAAGATGGTTAATTCTGAACTCATCCACAATATCATATTGATTCTCAAATGAATGTTTTAAGACACGAGACTCAAAATCGGGACCCCCTTCAGTGAAAATTTCGTTAACTTCTTCGACTAACTTATCGGTGTCAGTTCGACGGATATAAATGGCATATCGGTATTTAACTGCTTCACTTTTAATTTTTATGGAAACAGGTTCTGACTTCCAATAGGTCTTTTCTCTAGAGACTTGATTTAATTGAACGACAGGAAGTTTCCAATCGCCCAATTCACATGTGTTGCCCAAAACAATTGGTGTCCCCTTCAAAGTTTGAATTTTAGTTGGCAAAT